GTCAAAAAAGTCAAGATGATGGCCATCAATTGAGATCAAAGCACCATCTCTTTTTGTGTGTGTAGCAAAGGTGGGGCTTTGATTGCTGGGGTGGCAGCCAACTTGATGTTTTTGACCCCTTCCCTGTATACAACTCTGCCAATCTGGATCTCAGCATGGGCAGGTTGCAGCCCTACCACCTCCCGGTTTTTTTCTTGTGTGTATGTACGGGAGGGAGGGAGGGAGGGAGGGAGAGGGAGAAAGAGAGAGAGAGAGAGAGAGAGAGAGAGAGAGAGAGAGAGAGAGAGAGAGAGAGAAGCAAGCTAGTGATAATCCAGTTCTTTCAGAATGTCCTTCTAACTCAAAATCCTGTGTAAATCTTGCTAGTTTTATTGCCGCCCTGAGGATCAGAAGTTCTGGCTCTTAAGCATTTTTTGAAATCCTTCCTGCAAATCTAGTAAAGGGAATTCATTGCATTTATCGCTTCCAGATATTTATTTCTATTTTACTTAGTTATTCATTCAGTAGAATTACAATCTGCCTTTCTTCCAGGAGCCTCTGGGGAAGACGGTAGCCCCCTCCCCTGCTTTTTCCCCTGTGAGGTTGGCTCCCCTCAGAGAGCACGCATGGCCCAAAGGCACCCAGTGAGCATTGGTGGCTGAGAGTAGGGGGGGGGATCTTTGGTCTTCCCCACCCTCAAGGGGGGGACACATCTGGTCTCTCCTCATCAAATCCAGAGGTGCTGCTCACTGAGACCCTCATCAATGGCTGTGGGGCCAGATTCCATAGGTCCTCCAAAGAGAAGGAAGTTGGATACAAACTCATTCCCTAAACTAAAGCCAAGGTCCCTGGTGCTTTGGAAGAAGGAGAAGCTCTGGACTTTATCCAGCTTCGTGGCTCTTGAGCTCCCATAGCCCTTGATGCTGATCTGAGCAGCCCCCTTCCAAGGTACATGTGGAAGCTTGATCATGCCACTCCTGTTTGCTGATTAAGTAAACATTTACCAATTGCTCAAAATCTCTCTCTCCTTGGCATCGGCCGGTCATGAGAAGCAGCCCAGTGTGGAGGCTGAACGGTGGCATATAAAATATCCTCAGACGGATCCCTCAAATCTGCCCATTTCCCTGGAATCAGATTCCCCCAGCAGGTGTGCTGTTCCCATTGTGTCCACGCAGCCTGATGGGGTTGGGGCCCTGCGGCTCTGGCAGATGCCAGCCTGGGAAAGGCTGACTGAAGGCAACTGCTATGGGGAGACCGCATGCTGGAGAGGTCCCCCCAACCAGCGTCTCATCTGTCATCTTGGTGACGCCTCCCTTTCCAGCTGTTTGGGGCCCTTTGCAGATATCATCTCTGCCGCCCTGAAGCCTCCGCAAAAGACACGCTGCTCCCACTTGCTGCTGCACGAGGGGCCAAAGCCCTCGGGATCCGTCCCTTGCTGCCTTTGGCAGGAACGGTTTGCCTACCTGAGCGGAGGAGGCCTCGGAGCTCCCAGTTCTGGGCATTTCACTCAGTTCTCTGCCCAGCCTTGGCACAGCGGAGGCGTTAATTACAGGCCAGCGCAGGTGTCTTTATGCAGCGGCAGGGACTGGCTTTGGCTGCCTTTCAGTGGCAGCCAGTCTGAGTCCCACCTCTACTCCCAGACAGAACTAATGCAAAAGCACTCTGTACATGCTCAAGGCTACCCTCTTGTTAGCGCTTCATACGCTGGCATATGCACAAAGGATAGGATGACAGTTCCCAGAATTCATGCGTGGACGGACTGCTGAGGAATTCTGGGAGTCAAAGTCCACCCGTCAGATGGGGTGACTGTCGGATTCAAGGAAGGCTCGGGCGAAGCTTCGAGGGCCCCGGCGGTGCCACCTCTTTTAGGAGAGACAGTGGAGCCCACGTCCTCCCCCCCCCACGGGGTGACTGCCTTTCCCCCAAAGGCTCCGCTGCGCTGAGGAAAGAGCATTTCTCAGCCGGCTCTTGGCGGATCTGCCTCCTACACTTCGCCCAGCAGGCAAGGAGATCTGGCAGAGGCCTCTGAAATGAAACCTTGAACTCAGCACCCCTGAAGAGCAAATAGCTCTCTTTCCCCAGCCAGCTGGAACGGCCCCACCCTCCCCTCTCCTCCCCTCCCAGCCTGACTGCACTTTTCTCACCCTTCTCCCACGCCCCCCATCAGTGGGGAGGGTGCCAATATTCCCGGGAGATAAGAAAAGTGCTGCTCCTGCCGAAGGGCTGGTCAGCCAGAGGAGCCGTGGACAGCCTGGTCAGGAGCCGTTGCTCTTCCAGGGTGAAGCAGCTGCAGCCAGGAGCAGAGAGGCTTGGGTGAGTCCCGCAGCAGTTGGGGTGGGGCTGGGGCTCCAGGAGAAGGAGGGTTCCGTCTGGAGGGGGACAGGTAAGCCACCATTCCCCCAAGCCCCCCAACTCATCTGTTTGGTTTCCAAATACTTGAAGTAGCTAAGAAGGAGTCAGCCTGACCACAAATGAAAATGTCTATGGTCTGTAGGATACCTTTAAAAGTGTTAAAGCACTTTAAAATAGAGAATTGCAAGAAAGAATATTTGAAAAGCAAGAAGCTCCTTCATTGTTTTCTTGGAATACTTTGCCATTAGGAGTTTTGCAGAAACGATGAACAGAGATGGGGCACAAGGGTCTCCCTCAGGAACCGCCTCCAGCTTCGAGTATGGGTTGGCACTGAGCTCTTCCTTGGATGGAAAAATGGGTTCTGGATAAAATTCTTCTAAGTCAGATCTTCATTCCAAAGTTCATTTCTTATACAATGATTGCTGAAGAATACTTTTCAATTCTTAAATGTCAGATGCAGATTCTTTTTTGGGGGGAGTAATAGGATGTTCCAAAGCCAATATTTTATTTTGATATGTATACAAATTTATATCCAGCATTTTTAGCGCAAACTGACAGTTGTGTCTCTCAAACTTGCGGCTGGTTTCCTATGAGGCTGCACTGGGCAAAAGGGGTCAAATCAGATTGTAGACCAGAAGACATTTGTGGGCCAATAAACCAAGCTTCGAGAGCAATCACTCATACACCCAACAAGGGTGTCTCTGAAGATGCTAGTCCTCACTGATTCAAGCATCTTTTGAGTCTCCTTCCCCAGTGATTTCTTGGGCACCTTGAGACCCAAGGAGGATGTGGCTCTGCTTGTCCTGGGAAGCATTCCCACAGAGACCTGCTCTGGCCGTTTCTGCCCAATGGATCCCCCAAACTCTTGGGCCAGGTGGAGTCTTTGGGGCCACCGTTACAGCTTCAATCTGGAGACATTATCGGGCTGAAAAAAGCAGAGAATGATTAAATAGTTGCACAAGAAAGTGGCCATTGTACTCCCACACTACTGTGGGGTGTCTAGTACTGCCTATTTGAGCAGGGAGGGGATAGGATTCCAGGAAGGGGTGCAAAGGCTGCAATTTGGAGGTGGCTTTTTGCCCATGTTAGCATGCCCGGTGTGTGTATGTGTGTGTGCACACGTGTGCTTTGACCAGCAATCAGCTCTATGCTTCTGCCCAGCACTATATAGAACTTTGAACAATTGTGGATTTTATTTGATAAATATAGTAGTGGATGATGGGAGGTGAAGTAATCATCTCAGCAATACCGTGGCCCCAAACTCATTTTGGGTTATAGCCAAGAAGGTGAGTTTTGAATTGAATTTGAGTTTTGATGGCAAGTGTGACTTTCTGGGGTTCTCTTACGCCCATAAAGGCAACCGTCATGGCCTCAAGCACTGATCAGTTCATCCAGTCTTTCTCAACCTTGGCATCGCTGTAGGTCTTCCGTTGCCAAGATTGGGACACACTGAGAATCTTTCCATTCTAAGCAGCAGCTCATCAAAATCTCATCAGACTCTCTCATCCCAATTACATCGACCCGTGCCACTCGTCGAGCGGGAAGAGCATGCTGCGTATCCTGTCAGTCAAGGAATTTTGACTGGTGGGATCTCCGATCCCGCCCTTTGGAACATCTAACCCCCAGAAGTGAGGCAAGCCCCCACCCTTCTGGTTTTTGTATGAAGACCCGGCTTTGCCAATTAGCATGGGGTCTAAGAGTACGATGCAGCCTTGAGGATGGCTGGCCACTTGACCACACCCCTGCTGCCTTGTGAACCTTTTAGCTTTCTGAATGTTAAACTCTGATTTTTATTTTTACTTGCATGTTTTAACTTGTTCCTAATTCTGCTTTTAATCTGTGCTTTTGTGTGTTCATATGGTCTCGTTATGATGTAAACTGCCCAGAGTCACTTAGGTAAGACGAGTGGTGTAGAAATTAAACCAACAAATAAAAGAGCCCTTGCCCAGCTGCCATTCGACAGCCTGTTCCCTCACCATCTTGCCTGATTCTCCAATTAACCTTCAAGCAGCACATTCAGTCCTGAATTGAACACTTGCGCTGGGTTCATTCAACACCCTAAACTAAAACGAGGTAGCTCCCTTTTTGGTTTGGTATGTCATGTGAACACAGCCCTTAGGGAGAACCAGGGAACTGTAGAGCCATCGTAGGCTTTCTCCAGAGAAAAATCTACATCTTTGGAGGCCTACAAAGATGTTCTGAATACCGTATGTGGCTTTGGGTTACAACAGAAAACAAACCTGTGGCAACCTTGGGGTGAACTCAGCTGCCTGGCTCAATTTTGGAATTTTGCAGTTGGCTGGTTGGTTGCACCTTGGACTTCTGGGCTCTGTTCTTGGGGGTGGGGAACAGATAGAGAAGGAGAGGGAGAGGGAGAGGGAGCAGTGAGATCTTCATCTGACCAGCCTGGCTGGCTGCAGCGTTGACAAGAGTGATGTGGTTGTGGGTTTGATTTCCCTGCCTGTTGCCAGAGGTGGGTAAAGAGGACAATGGGCACACAGCTCTGCCAAAGCCTCACCCCACTCAGAACAAGGTGGCCTTCTGGGGAATGACAAACTTTAAGGCCCCATTGTCACATTCCAGGGTCAACCTCCACCCGCCTGATCTGGCTGGCAGGGAACGTGTTTGCATACCAGGGCATAATCTTTGTCTTCCAGAATCGGCCAGCCATGTCCGACGTGGAGTTTGGACGGATGTCTTTCAAAGACCCTGAGCTGGAGAGCAAGCGCGTCCCGGCCCAGCCCCACTGGTACGAGCGCTACCTGCAGCCTTGCATCGGGGAGCTGGTGGGCTCGGCCTTCTTCATCTACATCGGCTGCGTTTCGGTCATCGAGAACTCAGAGGGCACCGGGAGGCTGCAGCCGGCCTTGGCTCACGGGTTGGCACTGGGACTCACCATTGCCATCTTGGGGAATATCAGGTGAAGGAAGGGGCAGCCGTGGGGTTTGGCCAGGGGATGTGGTCAAGGAGGCGAGTCATCCATGAAGGAGCAATGGAGGGAGCTAGAGTACACCGCAGGAGGAGGAAGAGGGCTCAGCTGAATTCAGGCAGACCCATCCTCCAGATCACTGCTTCTCAGCCTTGGCAAGTGGAAGGTGGGTGGACTTCAACTCTCAGAATTCCACATCTTTACTGGCTGTGGAATTCTGGGAGTTGGTCCACCCATCTTCAACTTGATAAGGTTGAGAAACGCTGATTGACAGGGCTGCAATCTCGGTTCTCTTTCTCTGCATCGCTCTCCCCCAGCCATTCCAGTCTCCTGCCTTCCCTCCAAGGAACTGAATGGCTGACCAGGCCAGATTTTAGACATGGGGAGGCCCCCTTCGCAGCTGCTGGGGTGTGGGGGCAAATGCTATTGACAGGGCGAAGGACGACCTAAGCCTGTCTCACTCCTGGACTGGGGCCCTCCTCGTGCCCTGGAAAGGTGTAAATATTAGTTTGCTTTTTTGTGTTTATTATTAAATTTATGTGCCATCCATCTTGCTACCCAAAGCAACTCTGCATATAAGGGCAGGATGAGGCAAGACCAACAATGGCAGAAGCAAAATCTAGTACAAGCTATATCTGAGTCTCACACAAGTCAGAAAGTGGACTTGGAGGTTCCACCGATTCTTGTCACCGAATGAAGCCAGAAGAGGCCCAAGAAAGGGAACATTTCCATGTCACAGTGGCTGAAGTCTCCTCCTCCAAATTTCTTGAGTTTTGCTCCCTGCCAGCAGGCAATGGGGTGATCCAGCACCCCTTTTCTGCCAACTTCCCTCTGACCAAACATTTCTCTTTCCCACTCTCTGCCTGCAGCGGAGGCCACTACAATCCTGCCGTTTCCCTGGGGGCCTGGCTCGTTGGTGGGCTGAACATGGTGATGGTCATTCCGTACTGGATCTCCCAATTTTGCGGGGGAATGATTGGAGCTAGCCTGGCTAAGGTATGGCAGAGGATTGGGAAGGGGAGAACACTTGGGGTGCAAGGTGCCAGCCTTACAAGGTAGACTAGACCAGATGAGATAACTCTACTTTATTGTAAGATTACATTAACAGAATATTGCAAGTCTGAATGTATTGCACGTCTTTTCCCTGGACCCTTTTACAGCCTAAGAAACGAGGGAGGGTCCCTTCTGAGATGTTTCCACTTCCACTTTCCCACTCTGGGCTCAGCTGCTTTTTATCTGATTTTCTCCTTGGTTGTTGTTGCCCTGTCTCCCAAGGCCACTCTCACATATACCATTGCAGGTGGAGAGCAGAGACTATGGCAGATGTTGGGTGGTGTTCCATGCGCTCCCAGGCTCGGCTTGTGGTCACTCACTCACAGCCTGTTGAGGCATGCAGATCTTGTAACCTCCCCCCCACCCTTTGCTTTCTACCTGGGCATTCCAGAGAGCTGTGGCTAGAGCAAACAAGGCACAAAACGCTGGTCAACAGCCAGGAAATAATTAAGGATGCACACAAATCACTTTCAATGAACACTGAGGCACAATCGGTTCTCTGAAATACACAAAGACCCAGTGAATTTAAAGGAACACCAACACTTTATGGTACTCTTTACACTGTTCATTTGCTTTTCCTCACACACACAAGCATACTCTTGTATTTTACCCACATCCTTCTCCACTTGGCTGGCAGGCACTAGCCAGAGGGACAGGAGCTGCCCAGTCTGGATCCAAAGATGACTCAAAGAGTGGGGGGCTTCAGGACCCTTCCCCCCCCCAAGTCCTTCCTTCGGTGATTCACAAGATTGGCAGCTACTTCTGCTTTGTTTACTTATACATTTGGTAGCCACTGAAGGGATTGGTGGTGGTGGTGGTGGTGGGAGTTTAACCACGTGCTCAACTTCCTTTAACTGGTTCAGGTGACATTTTTCTTTTGTTTCTTTACCAATTTATTTTCTTCTTTATCTGCCTGCCCAAACAATCTTTTAGACAACATTTCTGGCTTTTCATCCTCTCTGCTTACATGACTGCTTCATCTTTAGTTATGGCAACCTCAGTCCAGTCTCACAGGGTTTAGGAGGAGGTGTCCAACCCATGGCAGATCTCCCACGTGACCCCTCCCCCCCAGAAGAACCAGAGTCAGCTAATACGGTGGGCAGAAAAGTGGATGTCTTGGTGGATGTTTGGCTTCTGAACATGTCCTTCCTGCTGACCCTCCTTGCTTGCCAAAGGAGATGCAAGGAAGGCTGGGAGGGGGGAATGTCTGCCTCCATATCCAGCTGTGGCTTCAAGTCCCTCTCATGCTATCATGTCCCCCCTAGCCCTTCTTTTCACAAGACTAGACAAACCCAATTCCTGCAGTGGTTCTTCCTGTGTTTTAGCCTCCAGCCCCCTAATCATCTTTGTTGCTCTTCTCTGTACTCTTTCCAGAGTCTCTACATTTTTTTTATAATATGGTAACCAAAACTGGATGCAACATTCCAAGTGTGGTCTTACTAAGGTATTGTAAAGTGATACTAATACTTCACGCTATTTTGATTCTTTTTTTGATTCTATTAATGCAACCTAGGATTGTGTTGGCTTTTTTGGCAGCTGCCGTATACACTGCTGGCTCATAGTTAAGTGATTGTCCACTAGGACTTCGAGATCCTTCTCAAAGTTACTACTATTGAGCCAGGTTTCTGTGTGCTTGGTTAGTCCAGATTTATCAGTCTGGGGTAATCCCTCTTTGATGTCTGTCTCAGGTGACCACAGAATGGGAGAGATATGAAAATGCCACAGGAGCAGCTTTCACGGCCATCACCTCAGATCATCAGCTCCCAGCTGCTGTGGTGGGGGAGATTGTGATGACCATGTTCCTGGTGATGGCTGTCTGCATGGGGGCCATTAATGAGAAAACCAAGAGTCCACTGGCACCCTTCTGCATTGGCTTCACCGTCACCGTGGACATCCTGGCTGGGTGAGTAGGCCAGAAGGCTGGTAGAAGGTTCTGCCCAGGTCCAGGAAGAAGTTCTTTCTGCACAAATGCCCAACGGCAAGCCCCGTCTCCTGCATCAACATTTTCTGCTATTGAAATGCTTCTTACAACTGTCTTTAAAAGGGGGAGCAGAGACCCAGCTCTGGAGAGATCCAGGAAGGCTCCACAAAAATTTATCCAAAGGCTTCCTTTTGCTGATGCAATACCCATTCTACTGCCTCAATACCTCTGCTCTATAGCAGTGGTCCCCAACCTTTTTGACACCAGAGACCAGTTTCATGGAAGACAATTTTTCCATGGACCTGGAGGTGGGGAGAGGAGGAGGAGGAGTGTGCAATCTAGATCTCTTGCATGCTCAGTTTACAGTCGGGTCTGCTGTTTGGCCCAGTTCTTACCAGGGCCTGGGGTTGGGGACTCCTCCTTTATAGGATTTTCAGACAAGAGATTTTGACTTGGTTTGAAAAAAATGCAATCCATTGCCCACAAAATTTGTTCCCATTGATATTAACAGCCCCCTTCTGCAAAACAAAAACATCTGCCATATTAAATATTAAATAAAAAGAGCAACATTATATTACTACCTATTTGTGTGGGTCACCTCCATCTCCATCCTCCTTCACTCCCCTTCTCCCTCCCAACAGTCCCAGATGTTAACACAGGTACAGATTACATACCATGTGCCCTCACTTCTCTACCTAAGCCAAAAGGTGTTTCTTCCATTCTGGAAGACAGGCAGGGGCAGAGCTGGTTTCAAGATAGGTGGACTTGTAGCATTTCCACATCTCAGAATACGGATATAAAAACATTGGCAGATGAAAGAAATAACTGCACACATGCTCAGCACAACCAGGGCCTTTGGGAGAGGGAAGACTGGGGCCCACGATGGCTGATCCTGAGCCCTTACCAACACCCTGGAGCGCCCCTGCTCCCTGGGGGTTTAAGGTCCATTTTGGAAGGAATGTAGCCTGTGGAAAGCACAAGGAGATAAAACTCGCCCTCATGAGCTTGCCTGGGCATCTTCTGAAACCAGGCTGCCATTTGCAACCCAAATTTGACGCAGGAGGGAAGCAGCGTTGCTGTTATTACACACGGTAGCCGGCCAGCTCCCTCGTGAGGCTGCAGGGCCTCCTGACCTGCTGGACAGCTCCACTGCCTGGCTGACGGACAGAGCCCTGTGGCTTGCGGGGGGGGGGGGCTTAGGGTGGGCAGAAACAGCTCTTCAGGCCTGCCTGGGGAAGAACCCTGTCCCTGGCACTCTTAGCTACTAGGATCCAGGGTGCCCGACTGGGCACTTGGGCCCTTCATGCCCAGAAGCATCCAAACTCAGCATCTCTCCATCATCATTGAGGTTTTGTCTGGAGGAAGTTTCAGTCCTGTCCTACCAGCAATCAGGGAGAAGAACGCCCATCAACTGATAAAAATAAGAGAGACCACAGATGGCCCCTGTGTGCTTAAATTGCACTTTAGCTGCTAAGTAATTTTCCCCAGCTGTTGTCTACAGAGATCAGCAAGTGGAGGCAAGAGGGTAGCCTCCAAGGAGGGGTCCTGGAAACCCTGGGTGGCTCTCGTCCTGACGTTGACTCAGCTGATAGACATGGCCCATTGCCCACTGGCATCTTCCCTTACAGATCCATATCAGAGTATCCCCCCCCCCCCTTAAATTGTTGGCGCCTCAGGGCAAAATCCCTGGGAATGTCTGCTGCTTCTTTCAGAATAACAGAATAACATGACAGTTGCCCACCCACTGGCCAGTGTGTGTGTGGGGTGTGTGGGGTATGGTGTGTGTGTGTGTTCTGTTTCTAGCCATCCAGAAAAAACAACTCGCCCTGCAGTGCTTGCCTGCTGCTTTTCTAAAGACCAATTGGAACATGCTCTGAAGCAGCCCTTCCCCTCCCGGAGTCCTTTGCTTGTCCCTGGACGCTCATGTTCTAGTTATTTCCATGTCACTTCAGTGTACCCGGGGGAGACCTGCATGCGTTGGCCTGTTGGCCCAACTGGAATTGGACTTGTCTTGGTGAATGTCTTGGGGTGGGGGCATTGTAAGTATTGCCAATTAACTGCACCCAGTGAGGATAAAAGGGGTGGCAAAGAAGGTGCCTCTAGGGGGCTTCTTTGCCCAGAATGGAGAATCCGGAAGCTTTGAAAACATTACTGGGAGTGGCGCCTTCATTCTGTCAATCTTTCTTCTCTGTTTAGGGGAGCCGTTTCTGGAGCCTGCATGAATCCAGCCAGAGCTTTTGGCCCTGCAGTGGCTGCCAACCACTGGGACTATCACTGGGTGTACTGGGTGGGCCCCATGGGGGCTGCGCTTCTGGTGGGCGCATTGATAAGGTACGTGGCAGGTTTTCAAGGCCTTTCGGAATGCCCTGGGGGGGGAGCTGTACAGATCTGGAGGGGGGGGACCTCATTCCAGCAGGCAAGTGCCACTTCAAGGGGTTGCCCGGCTGGGCTAGTTGGATCCTTGGCTGGAGCAGGACTCAGGATTAATCGAGTCTATCAGCAGTGATTCCTGAATAACAGTCAATGGAACTTCCAAGGCAGAGTGTCTGAGATCTTAAAGGATCCCTGGTTTGTGGAGAACGAGAATGAGGAAGTGTTTGGCATGCAGGAGACCCCACATTTAGTCCTGGTAGGTCCAAGCCAGGCCAGGCCAGAAACACACACACATAGAACTGAATCAGTGACATCTTGGCCCATGTCAGGAATGGGCGCGTCAAAGCTTCAAGGCTGCCTGTTGCTTCTCAACTGCTTGTTTGGTCTCCCAAAGTTTTTAATATGACAGAAGGCATAAATAAGGCAACACATGGGAAGCAATCCCGTTAGCTTTTAATTAATCTCATTGCAATTATGTTTACAAGTAACATGTGGCTTTGCCTGACTATGCCAACTTTTTAAAATCTGGCCTGTGTGCCATTCAAAAGCCAGAGGTCAGCCTGTGCCCACGCTGGTCATGGGAACCTTGTCCTTGCATCCCCACATGGTGATGGCATGTACTCCGGAGGAGTGCTGGATTTGGAGTCCAGAGAACATCTGTAAATGCTCTGAGAAGTCAAGATGTTTTAGCAGCCCTCCATTCGGGTATGGTCAGTGAAAACAGCCTGAACCACTCGTGAATGGTCTCAAAGACTTTCATCTCTGTTACATGAATCTCGCCAGACTGACTGCGTTCCCCTGGGAATGGACAGATAAGGCTCCAGGGATTCTGGGGGAGATCAGGCTGTGCTGCTCCCTGCAGTGCAAGGACTCCAAACCTGCCCCCCTCTTAACACCTCCCTTCAGTCTAGCTCAGGGGTGGGGAACCTTGGCTCTTTTATGACTCGTGGACTTCAACTCCCAGAATTCCTGAGCCAGCCACGCTGAGGGGAGAGAGGTTTCCAAGCTGCCTCATGAATTCTGGGAGTTAAAGTCCACAAGTCATAAAAGAGCCAAGGTTCCCCACCCCTGGTCTAGCTGGAGATTCTACCACAGGAACAAACCCAGAGGCCAGATTGTTTACGCAGAGAGTTCTTTCACTGTCATTCTATCACCAACCTTCTTCCTCCCTTATGCAAGTGAGATGCGAGGAAAGGCAGTGCCTGACTTTGGTATCATAAATTAACCAGACAGGCTAGGTTTGTGCAGCAGGCTTAGCCATAAATGATATTCAATCAAGGATAATGTGAGCTAGATTCAGCATGGAAAAGGCAGAATAACAGAACCCTTCCAACTCTTGAGATCTTCTAGTCCAACCCCCTGCTCAAGCAGGGGACCTTATACTATTTCAGACAAATGGTTGTCCAATCTCTTCTTAAAAACCTCCAGTGTTGGAGCACCCACAACTTCTGGAGGCAAATTGATCCACTGATTAATTGTTCTGTCAGGAAATTTCTCCTTAGTTCTAGGTTGCTTCCCTCCTTGACTAGTCTCCATCTGTTGCTTCTTGTCCTGCCTTCTGGTGTGCTTGGAGAATAGTTTGACTCCCTCTTCTTTGTGGCAGCCCCTCAAATATTAGAATACTGCTATTATGCCACCACCAGTCCTTCTCTTCATTAAACTAGACATACCCAATTCCAGCAGCCGTTCCTTATATGTTTTAGCCTCCAGTCCCCTGATCATCTTTGTTGCTCTTCTCTGTACTCTTTCTAGAGTCTCAACATATTTTTTACATCGTGGTGACCAAAACTGGATGCAGTGTTCCAAGTCTGGTCTTACCAAGTCATTATGAAGTGGTATTGACACTTCATGTGATCTCAGTTCTTGGACTGGGTTGGCTTTTTAAAAGATTGACTTTAGAGATTATACCAGGGAAGAGATTTGGTTTCTGGCATTATGGTTTGAGTTATCTGGATGATGGATTGTGGCAGATCTCTTGCAGAAGTCACATCTGGCCAAAGCAGAGTGAGCTTGATTAGGAGGGTGCTTAAGTAGAAGGCAAAACCAGGAAGGAGCTTAAGATGAGATGTGCATCTTGCTGAAACTGAAATAGCACTTAGACTTACCTACCGCTTCACAGTGCTTTACAGCCCTCTCTAAGCGGTTTACAGAGTCAGCATGGGCCCCCCAACAATCCGGCTCCTCATTTTACTGACCTGGGAGGGATGGCAGGCCGAGTCAACCTTGAGCCAGTGAGACTCAAACTGCCAAACTGCCGGCAGCCGGGAGTCAGCCGAAGTAGCTGCAGTGCTGCACTCTAGCCACTTCGCCACCAGATGAGCAAGATGAGCTCAGATCTTTTGGAACAAGACAAATATAGGCACAAGAAAAGACAAATCCAGGACTGGAACAGAGCAAAGAGAAGATATAATTTTCTCAAAACTGAGGGAGGAGGAGATGAACAGGATGTCAGAAATTTCCTCTCCTACCAAAAAAAAAAACCCAACAACCCCAACCCGGCAAATATTTGACTCCAAATGTGGAGGGACAAGTCAAAGCCAGAACTGTTTTGGGTGTCCAATATCGCCAGATGATCAGGACGATGTGGACTGATTTCTAGAAGCAACCTGCGGGTCTTCTGGGGTGGAACTGAGGGGCCCTTCAGCATTCTTGCCTTCTGTGCGGAGGCCTTTTGCCCAGCCCGGTTGTTCCAGGCTGTCTGTGGCCCAAGAGGAGCAGCTCTCCTGGGGTGGGCTCCGGGTTAAGTGGAGACTTGGAAGTTCTTGATTTTTAGAGAAATGAAACGCAGTCAGATCATAACACGGATGTCAGAATAAACTCAGAACAATGGCAGGAGAAAAAAAAAATCCTAAAATGTAGGCGGCACAAGGGAGAACAATTTCAGTGAGAGAGAAAAAACAAAGCAGGCTGTGCAGCCACCGGGGTCTCCAACCTTGGCAACTTTGAGACTGGTGGATTTCAACCCCCCCCCCGAATTTCCCAGCCAGCTTTCCTTAAAGTTGCCAGCGTAGGACACCCCGGCTGTCCGGTTCCAGCTCCCCCCTGCCCAGAGAAAGAGCGGCAAGGGTGGTGGGCCGCCTCCCTCCCGCCAGGCCTCCTGGTCCCACGGCTCTCTCCTTTCCTCCTCCAGGTTCTTGATCGGGGACAGCAAGACGCGCTTCTTCCTCAAGTGAGCGAGGGGCCCTGCCAGGACCACCGCCCTCCTTCCCCGCGCCACCCCAGGCAGCCGCCGCCGTCCTTGCCCGGGGAAGAGACTGGCTGAAGCGGGGCTCCGCCAAGCGCCCGTTTTTGCCCCTGGACAAGGGGCGGTGCGCTGGTTTTTTCCACGGTTGCAGACCTGGGACATTCTGCCTCCCCTTTCTTGAAACGCTGCCTCGAAGGCGAGAGACAAAGGCGAAGAGGCGGCGGCCCCGGCAGATCCACCAGCCGAAGCGGGGAAGCCGCTCGCGGAGGAGCTTCGGACGAAACGGCCCTCGGCTGCCCGGGTCAAGCAGCGGCCCGCCGACCGGGCCCGGGCGCCTGCAGCCCCGGCCGGAGCCCCGGCGAGGAAGCCGCTCCTCGGCTCGGCATCTCCGGAGGCGGCGCGCCACCGGGGACCCACCGGCCACGCCGCCTCCGCGGCCCCCGGGGTGCAAAGGGGCGCAGCGCTTCCACCGACCGGATCCCGTCTGGAAAGGGGCTCCTTCGCCCAGCCCAGCGGGAGGAAGAGCCGGGCTGGCCCGGCTCCCACGGCGGTGCCCTGGGCTCCCGGGACACCTCGGCCGGGCTCGGAGACGCCCCGCCGCTCCCCGGGCGCGGACCCTCCCCGGCGGGGCTTCCCTCCCCAGAGAGCGGCCCCTTCGCCCCCCCCCACCCCGTGGACCCGAAGCCCCTCCGCTCTCGCGCGGGGCTGCAGTCCGGCGCCTCCCAGCCCCCCCGCGCCTTGAGAGGCTTCGGGCCCAGATGGCCCCCAAACCACCGCGCTGGCCCCGGGCCTTGCGGGGGGAGCTCCCCTCCCAGCCGCTTCCCGGGCCCGCCACCCCCCCAATTCCCCGAGACTGGCGCCCCCAGCCCGGTCCCTCGCCCCCGCCCCGAGAGCGACCTCCCCGCGCCTTCCCCTGCGCGGCGGGGCTTCTCGGAGCGGAGATCCCGCCCGGGCTGGGCCGCGGCCGGCAGTGGCCCTGGCCGAAGGAGCCGGCGCTGCGCTTTGCCTGGCGGGATCGGGAGAAGCCTGGATCCGGAGATGCCCGCGGCCCTGGGGCTCTTTGCTTTACGGCCCGGCTCCAAGCAAAGGCCGCGGCCGGTTAAGGGGACCGCCGGGCTGGGTCTTTCCCTGCCGCCTCGCCGAGAGCTGAGCCAGCGGCTGCTTTGCACAAACCTGAAGGCGGAACTGCAGGTGGACAATGGGGACACGTCCTGTCCTTGCACAGCAGCATCTGGAGAGGGGACTGTGGAAGTTTGGGTGATATGTTGATCCTCAAGTTAGCTCCTGCCTGCGGTGGATGGGCGTCCTCTTTGCTAGCCTCCTATTGCTTGGCTGTTACGCAAGCACTGGTTACTTAACCATTGTCTATTGAATTAGCCACAAATTGTTGGATTAAGCCACTGTTTAGTTGGGGTCAGAGTACTGCCTGGCCTCCACCATTGTTCAACCCATCCTCTCCCAAGCAGATCTACAGCTGTGCCACGCTTCTGGAAATACTAACTAACACATTAAGCTGAACTCACAAACCATAATAATAAAGTGAAAACCAAGAAAAGTACACTGGTGTCTCGGCCCCTGACGCAATCTGCTTGTTTTGATGTTTTTCCCTGAGTAGGAACACAGCTGTGGGTGGCGGGTTAAGCACAGTTTGTGGTTTAGCATGTTTGAGCAGCTCCAAGCCGCCGGGGTGGCTGACATCTGGACGAAGGGGGCCATTTTCCAGATTGCTTGGCTGCCCTCTGGGACTTTGCCCCCTCAGCATCCTCCCATTTCAGGATCTGCTGGGGTGGGGGTGGGGGACTGCAGATACGTTGGAGCGTCTCAGAGACCACCGCAGCAGTGATGGATGGGAGCCCTTCGTCACAGAACAGCTCTTGTGCTTCCCAGCCTCTCCGAAGTTAAAACTGTGCCGTCTGGCAGTTGGAGGAAGTTACTGAGCTCCAGTGAACTGTTTCTTCCCTGAGCTTTCTCGATCCATCAGCAAAGCAGGAGGAGCCCTCTTCTTATTAATGCAATGAGAGTAAGATGACCCTTGTCTAAGACCTGCCCTTATCTGCAACAAAGCACATAATCACCCAGGGAAGTGTTGAGCTGGAGTGTGAGGCAATAAACGTTCATCTCTGCTGGCTAATACAGATGTTTCTTTAATAAGCAGTGCTAAAATGTCAGTTGCTGGGTTGAGGCTGCTGGTGCGGAGCCACAGAAGACAACCTGCCTGGGTGAGGGGTGGGGGCAGGGGGGGGCTTCTGCTGTTGTTTCTTGCAGTGGATGGCAGGCGAGGGAGGAAACAGAACTTGTAGGAAAGGGGGGGAGGCTGCTGATGGAAAAAAGGTTCTAGAGCGCAGGGCGGAGGCTCTTAGTTATTTTGAACGGGGTGTGTGTGTGTGTAGAGCTACTTTCAAGAGGCCTCTAAGAATAATGGGTGGGTAAAAAAGGGCTTACTAACTCAGCTTATAGTTTTGTAAATGCTTCATTTTTATGTTCTGGAATTATTCATCAAGAATTCTTTGCTGCTGAAAAGCGTGAAGGATAACAGAAGGAAGGCCTATTTATCTCCACAAACTCTTTGAATCGCCTTTTAAGGGTGTGCCGTGACTGAGAGGTGTGCAAGAAAGAGCAAAGTGGCGGGGGAAGAGAGAGACTCCTTAGCAAGCACAAGGAGCACATTGGCATGTTCACATATTTTGCTCAGCTGCCATGGAAATGAGGAGTGCTTGCTTGTTGCATTGGGTCGTGTGAACTGACATACTATGGTTTGTAAAAGACGATGGATGGCTTTCAGTGGAAGTCAGACCTAATCCAGTGTGGTTTGTCTACTAAATCACGATAAAACAAACTGTGCCTTAGTGCAAGTGATTTATTTTTAAGGTTTGTTGGGGGAGAGAGGGCCACAGTTCTGGAGTCATTGACTGCCTGCATAATACAAAAGGTGAGGGAGTCCCTGCAGATTTTACTCCGCTAGTCGTGACTCTGGGGGGCGCTGCTCATCTCCGTTTAAAGGCCATTGAGCCAACACTGTCCAAGGACATTTCTGTGGTCATGCAGCCAGCATGATGTCATGGAGCACTTCCTACTGTCGTGGTACCTATTTATCTACTCCCATTTGCATGCTTTGAATGTCTAGGTTGGTGGGAGCTGTGGCGAGGATGGGAGCTCACCCAGCTGAGTGGCGCTTGGGTCTCAAACCTGGGCTGCCGGCTTTCCAGCTGACAAGCCCAGCAACTTAACCGCTGAGCCACCCACACCGCCCTCATCTGCATGATATGATGGGCTAAAAAGTTAACACTTTTGCCATCATCTCTTCCTCCCCACCATACCCAGCACTGTGACTTCATCCAAACTAAAGACTTGTCTTGGTTCGGGGGCTTCTGAGACCAAGTCCAAGTCCTTGCTTTGGGAAGCTGAAAGAAGTGCAGCTTTTTTGAGACCAGACAACCTGCAAAGCTCCAGGAATGAGGTACGGCTGAAACGCTGGTGCAGAGAGCTGCTTAACGGACCGCCTGGAACGTACGTGTCTGTCTGCTGCAGTGGGGGAGGATGGTCCTTCAGCAGGTCTGCTCCTGAGCGATTTAGAGTTTAAGGCCATTCTTTGAGTTGGGTTGGAGGCCCCTGGCAGAAACTGGCGGACTGGTTCTAGACCCGAAGGGGTGAAGCTGTCAGTTCTCCCACGTCCGTAGTTGAGACTCTAACTCCAAACTAGTGTTGCAGCTCTGGACACAAGATCCCCCATTCCTTCAGTCTTGTCCTTCCCATCTTTTGTCTGTTTACACACCACAGCTGAGGGAGATCCCAGAGGGAGGAGCTTCGCTTGAGGTTTTTTGGGTCTGCATCTTCAAAGCATTGCCATGGCAACCCATTTTGCCAGCATCTTCCTACAGCCTGTCCTCATTATTAGGAAGGGTTGTCTCATTTTTCCCTCAAACTATTTTTGCTTTCTTGGAAGGAGATCCAAATTAGAATTGTCCTTGCAAATCATTGCATAAAAACAAGGGAGACATCAAGGGTTCCACAGTCCACTAAACAATTCTGCATCTGCAACTTGATCCCCCCTGGAGACTCAAGCACCTGCCGGTGCTCTAAAATGCTCTTTTCATCTTGCCCAAACTGTGTTTATCCATCAACCTGGAGAGGCAAAGAGCTGAGACTGCAAAGAGGAGCATTGCAGGGGAAAAGGAAATTGTCACCAATGCCTGAATGAATAAAGAAGAAAAGACAACTCTAACCCCAAAAGAAAAGAAAGACAACCAGGAATGTCAGATTCTTTCAGACAGCAGCTGGTTTTTAGAGCCTTCAGCAAGTGACCTTGGCTTTCCATTAGCTTCAGAAAGGGCATCTCGGCCTCAGGTTGAAAGGCAATGATCTTGCCAGCCAGCCCAAATTAGGTGTAGCTCACCGTGTCAGGGAAACCTATAAAATGGGCTTATAGTTCAGTGAAATGACCATGAGTGAATATGTTCTGCGAACACAGCTCTCCTTTCAAGAAATGGACCTCCAGTGTTAGAGCATCCACAACTTCTTGCCTCCAGACGTTGTGGCTATTTCAACACTGCAGGTTTTAAAGAAGCGACTAGACAACCGGTTGTCTGGAATGGTATAGGGTCTCCTGCTTGAGCAGGGGGTTGGACTAGCTGACCTCCAAGGTCTCTTCCAGCTCTGTTATTCTGTTAAATGGCACTAGGAAGGGTAGTCCTGCAGGCAAAGAAGGTCCCAGAGGATGCTTCTGTGGCAGGACCTGCCTGCCGAGGGCTCAGAGGGCTGGGCAGCAGCACCTGCCTTATGGGTTTGGTGTGGGACTCTACTTTGGTTTCTCCTCCCACTAAGCACCAGCTGACCATGGGAGTACAGCCACCAGTTGCTTCCCTTAAGTGGGATGGGATTTGGGACAGTAGGAGTAGCCAATTCCCAGCTTGTCAGATCAGCCAGTTGCAGGTGAGGAGGGGACACCCAGGTGAAGTAGGGGAAGTGCCCCATCCTGAGCATTCAGGATCT